TACTGGAACAGTTCGATTGAGAAAAGACCCGACTGGTAGTGCTGCTGAATGGGTAGGCTAGAGCTGTGCAATTCCACTTTGTATGTCTCCTTGCTCTTTCATTCTGTATTTTGTTATAATTCACAGCCAAAAGTAGAAAGTAAGGGACGGTCCTGAACCTTGACTTAATTAAAAATACAGCTAGTTGAAGAGAGCATTTTCCCTTGGATAGAAGATGAAAATCCGTGATGTTATCTTACCGTAATCACCTATATTGCACTTGAAAGTTCACGTTACTTTAAGATCATCAGCACAGCAAGAGTTTTAAATTATTCTTAGATTAATTTTTTCTCTACTGTTGCTGGACACTTAAAAGTGCAAACTTGAACACCAGCTTAAAAAAAAAACCAGATTCATCTTGGTATCAGAATATCATTGATTCATGGAGCTCTATCCTTTGGGGCCTAAGCCCAGCTGCAAATGTGTCTTAAATTGTTCTGTTGCTTGTTGAACGCAATAGTTGGTGATCATCTGTGATGCCCCTGAACACTTGTGTGACCAAAGTCAGGGGAAGAGTTAGGCCTGTGTCTTCTCTGCGCTGATCTGTTCAAGGGAAGCAAACCAAGAATAGGACTATCTTTCCTTTGTGTTTCAGATGTGATTAGAGCTACTCTGTAGGGCACAACTTTGCAACTTTTATGGTTCACAACCGAGTACCCAGTGCAAAGTACTGGACCTTTGGGAATATTTGCAGCTGTTGAATTTCAGCCTTGTTTGTAGATGACAGTCAGTTGGCATTGCTAAGGTAAATCGTGTAGGATGCAACTAAGATGTTGGTGTTTCTCTAGGAAGTGGAGTGTTGTGCAAGGCCTAGACTGGATATTGTACAACCCCTGCCTGAGTCCTGTGAAGAGATCTCTTCTGATGCACTAACAGTACGAGGATTTCAGGAAAATGAATGTAGAGATTATCATTTAGGTAGGTGTTCTTAATATTGTTTTGTTTTATTTTCATAATGCAGTTAAAAGAGACTTGATTTGGGAGGACTCAGGCTCCTTTTTAATTTCTATGTCATGTCCTTGAATAACTGTCTATAACTGCTTATGACACTGAAGTGTAAAGTGGAAATCCGCAAGAACCAGTCACATGAAAGAAAACAAATGTGTATATTTAAACATGATTTGTAATGCCATCTATTATGTCAGACGTACTGGGGAAGGGAGAAATATAGATCTCATGTAATGTCCAGTGTCATGGAAGGCAGTATCTTTGATAGAGATGTATTCAACACGTGATCTGTAGGAGCTCTTGTGTCTCTTTGAACACAAAGGGCTTCAGGAATAGCGAAATGAGTGGTACAGTGTCTGGAAAAGCTGCTTTAGAGACAAAGATGGAATAAATGTCATTTCAACACTAAGATGCACCTGGATCAACTTAAAAGGGACACACTGGTATTTAGCTTCCCTGTACTGACAAAGCTGTCGGTGTATAGCAGACCCCAGAAGGGTAAAATGTCGTGGATAGAAACTGGAGTTTGGCAAGTTCAGCCTACAAGATAGGTTTAATTAGGTAACAGGCAGGGAGATTAAGCCCTGGCACAATATATACCAGAGTCTTTTAAAAAAGATGGGATGGTTTTCTGATATATGTGTTGTAGTTCAGAAAGATGCATGGGAAAGCTGATGCAGAGTTCCTTGGTGAAGATTATATAGCCTGTGTTATACAGAAACATTCCTTCTGGCTTTTAAAATCCATGAATCTGATTTTTAAGCATCTTCTCTGGCAGCATGCTTCAAATCATAGGCTTGGCAGGCCTCTCTGTGTACATCAATGCCCTTAAGCCACTAGAAATGTAGTGTATCTCCTCCTGATCTCTGAAACATCTCTGCTGCTATCAGTAGAATTGGGATTTCTTTATACCTGTCCCTAAGCAGAACGTTGATGTCCATAGTTGTACTTTTATGCTTAATAAATATTCTAGTTAATCTGACAAGTCTGAATTTTTTTGGATGGCTTTAAAACAAGCATTATTTTGTGAATTGCTTATCAGTTCAGGAGTGTAGTTGTATGCATTGTAGATACAGATAAAGGATGGGGGATGGTTTTCTTTCCTGTACCTACAAATACTGATGATATTTCTTCCTGGGTTCTGAACAGTTCTGAACTATTCTGAACAGTTATCTTCTGTGTTTGGTTTTACCTTTAAGTACATTTTTACTTTGGGCTTACTCAAAAATAAAGGCTTATGGTATAAGCAAATGCATTATACATATAACCTTAACTTATAGCATTGCAAATGCATTGCTGTAATGATGTGCTGTGTCCCCAGGGGTTATGGCATCTATCATTTATGCTTTTGATGGCCTTGACCTTGATGGGGAGGGTAAGTTTATTGCAGGCTATGTAGTGTAATAGTCCTCTAAAAGTACAATAATGTGTTCTAAACCATCATAAAGTTTACACATAGTGGATGAATCAGAATTTGCAATAAGCTGTAGTGATTTTTTTGAAAGATATTTTGCCATTTAAACCAGTTTTAATTTATTGGAGAATACAGCTTCCCAAACAAGCATGTGCTGCAGGAGTAGCCTTGCTGTCTTCCTTGCATCTCCTCTTTTAAATTCCCCTCAAGGGTGTACTAAAAAGCATGGCTTTACTTAAGGAACATATAATAATAATGAAACTGTGTATGCATTTGCAGAGTATTCGGAAGGTGAATCACTTTTTTACATCATCAGCCCAAGAGATGTGGTTGTGGCTAAAGAGCGGGACCAAGATGACCACATTGACTGGCTTCTTGAAAAGAAGAAATACGAAGTAATTTTTACAACATTCCTTCCTTCAGGCTTTCCTGGTTTGGAAATTGGAGTGGGATGATGAACTTTGCTATGTCATTTAGATTGGATAGTTTCTATTCCTACGGTCACTGACTAAATGATTGTAGAGGGTGGGAGCTGACTATACATGTCTCCATCTCTCTGGAGAATTAGTCGTCCTACTGAAACAACTCATCTGAATTGCACCCAAGTGAGGTAGCTGAATTAGATGCTGTGAAATCTGCTTTCAGCATCAGATATGAAATGTATTAGCTGTCACTGAAAATTATTAAAGCTGGTTTTTAGTGTTAAAGCAGCGGAACAGTTAACTAATGAGCTACGTGGTTATTTTTCTAGGCCTATCCCAACTAAAGAGGGAAGGGAAAGGGACTTGGTGGGCAATACTAGGTTTTGCCCATTCTATATTGTTTCCACTATAGAATGAAAAGATTGCGTTGCGGTACTGTGAGTTGCTCAGCGTTACTTACCTGTGGTGTTGAAGCTTTTAAAAGTAAAACAATATGGGCTTAATCTGTAGGCATTGGTGCCGAAAGTAGTGTTACTCACAAAAAAGCAGAGCCAATATTAAAAAACAAGGGTATACAGCTCCCTTGGAAAAAAGCAGCTCAGTATTTGGTTGTGTAAATATTGGTGTGTTTAAGCATGTATATCTAAACACCTTAAAAAAACATAATAAATTCTTCTAGACAATATCAACATGCACCCAGTATTCTCGATTCTGATGTCCTGCAGTTAATGACTTAAAACACTTGTTACAATGCATAAAGTAACTTGCAAATTCTTATTTACGTGTTATTTATTGGACACCCATTATAAAAAAAAAAAAGTGGGAAAACCATTCAGCACGTATTCCTTTTGTTAATGCAGTCATGATATTCTTCATGCAGATTTGTTTAAATCCTTGTGGATGCTTTTGCATCTGAATAGCAAACTCCTATCATGAGTGCAGTTTTGCAGTTTATGTAAATCACAGCATTTGGTCCCTGCAGACTCCAGTAATTTGCAAGTGACAGCTGTGGTGAGCCTTTATGGAAGCCATTCAGGGTTTGTTTGTTATGATTTGTATGTTAAAGGTTTCATTTTGTTTGTAAAAGTGCCAGCTTTGTTTCTGTACATTTGAAAGAAGTTGAAGAATGGTAAATAACACTTAAATATAAATCAGTCTGACCGAAGAAGACTTTTGCGCTAGGGAAGTGAAAGGTAGCCTTCCCCTACCCCCTTTCCTGATGATTTTTTCCCACAGGTTTTGGTAGCAAAGGGTTCTCATTTGAAAATGATCCAATGCGATTGCATTGTCTGTTTCGTTGTAATCTTGCGATTTGATCCTAATATAGTAATGTGGAGTGAACCCAGATGGAAACAAAAGTAGTTTTGTCTTTGGTTGACTGCTTTTGTTTGAGTATGAATTCAAAGCTGTTCATCCAACCATAGCATTAAAAATTCTAGTGCTTCAAACACCGTGCTCTGAAAAATAGTTGATTTATGCAGTTCTAGAGCTTTCTGTATTGAAAGTTTTGTGTATTTGGCTAGTATCTCTGTTTTCTACCTTTTGAATATAGGAAGCTTTGATGGCAGCTGAGATCAGTCAGAAAACCATAAAAAAGCACAAGATTTTGGTAAGTCTCAAAACTTCTATTCAAAACAAAATATCTGGTTTCTCTTAGAATGCTGTGAGATGCTGCAAGTAAATTCCCCGTTGTGTATCGCACCACACAATAGCTGTTAGGCATACTCCAACTAGCATTCGATTTCTTGGTTTCAGCTGCAAAACAGGAGCGTCAGTCTGTGAAACACAAAAGGATCTGGATTTTATGAAGGTGCTATTGACATTAAAAAGAAGAGAATTCCACTTCTCTGATTGCTGATGGGGTTTTTGTTTGCTTTTACTTTTGTATTAAATTTGCTGTTGTTTGAAGTAACACAGTGTTGCAATATTAGAATGGGGGGGTGTGTGACACATTTCTCTAACTTTTACCTTGCACATGTGACAGGGTTTTGGCAGGAGTTTAAAAGGTGCAATTGGAAGACCTTTTAAATGCTATTGAAATTCAGTTGCAGTTTCACATCTAGCACTCTTATGTTGCTTTTCAATTCTCATTATTTTACATAGTTAAGATCCTTTTCTCCTATGTACTTATTTCCCATGTTTATAGTCCCTTCGCAGAGCAACAAAGGGTATCGATATTTTAAGACGAAAGGGGAGAGATAATGTAATAGCTACAAAAGCATTGCTAATTTTAGCTCTTTTTTGGTTTTAAGTTCACCTCCTTGTGAACACATTGGTATTTCATTAATACTGCTGCTTCTTTAAATGGAAGTTTGTATTTAAGTACAAAGTGTTAGAAGATGTGTTTAATTCTTAGCCAGATTACTGCTATAATATGCACACTGTATATCAGGAAGTCTTAAAAATTCTTTTCTTGTGTAGTTCAGAAGTTGAATCAAGACCTAATGGCATCCCATCACCTATCACAGAGTTTGTATGATTTAGCTGCTCTGTGACCCTTGCAAAAGATGTAAAGAATTCTTAAAGGAGGTCCTGGCAGTACAGTAGGAGGAAAAAAAAAATGGAGCAAGCTTTTCACTTAGTTTGCAGAAATTTGCTCTGCTAGGATGACATTCAGTGTGAATACACACAAGCAGAGTTGTTGAGTGTTTGGTCTCTCATGCAAAACCCATGGAATGTGTTGAGGGAAAAAATGTTGACATCAAGCCCTAAGTAGCAATACAGGGATTTGAAACAACTTATGCTCTCACTGCCCAGCAGTGATCAGACCAATGACACCACACTCGCACCACCTGACTAGTCTGGTGGTCTTGGGGATTTTTTAGGTTGCAGTAGTGATTGCTGCCCTTCTGCATCTCTTGAGCAGAATGCAAGAGTCCTAAACAATCATAGATCCACAGCTCCTTTCCGTGTACTGTCTTCTCTGCTCACTGGGGAGCTGGCCCACAGGAGAAAGAGGCTGCCAGAAATCTTCATTCTTGAGAATGATGAAGTTGAAAATACAAAGATGGTTCCTATAGTGGCATGAAATCCTAAAATCTGGTGTATGTGTGTGACATCTTTTTTTAAAAAAAAAAAAAAATTTGTAGGAGATTAACCAATTGAAGTTGTTGGATACCTATGTTCATATTCTGCTCCTCTCAGTATATCCTTGATATTGATCAAAAAATTTATGTTGTGCCTCAGAAGACCCAAATACATTTTTTGTAGGAAACAAGGACTTCTTTTTCATTGTACAGCGTGCTTCCCCGCCCCTCCCCGGGGAAATAGGTGCTTTTAGTGATGTGATTCTTAAGTTATGCGATGGGTACACTGGGCTGTGTTGACCTTGACACCACTGTTGAGATTACAGCAGAAGGCTGTTTCACCAAAATTTTCCTATATTAGCCACCTACCAGAAAAATTGTACAGCTGACCTGTGTGAAAAACCCTTGAGAAGGGGAACTTAATATGTAGCAATAAATAGTAATCTGGCTAAATTCTCAGTAATTCCTTTAGTTTATGGAGCAGCACTAGGATTTATATTCTCAACCAACGTTTTCCCCCCGCAAACTTTGTATTGACAAAGAAAGTGTCTCATACAATGGCTTTTTTGAGAACTTTGAGATAACTAATCTTTTTGAGATAACTAGTGGAAGCACTGAATGATCAGCTATATGGTCTGAACAGTCCTTAAGAGGTAGAGGTGGCATAGTCCTCAGCATCAGAGAGGTTATGAGAATTATTTAAAAGAGCAACTTAATTTGAACCCATGAGCGGTCTATGCAGGTATTTTGTATTGAGTGTTCTGTGCGCTCTACATCTACAGGAGAACTCGGGGTATCCACTTAGGGCCTGGTGCTTGACTTAACAGCAGCGTGTACAGCTGGAATGATAGTTATTGTGACAGTCAAGTAGTTGACTTCCAAATGTTATAACTGATAAAATTATAACTAATTCTTCATTTTTATTCGCTTTAGGACATTGGCTTAGCCTATATAAATCACCTAGTGGAGAAAGGAGAGTATGACCTGGCTGCTCGGTAACTTATTTAAGATTTTCTTTGACTACAGTATGTCTGGGGGGGCGGGGGGGGGCGGGAAAGCAAAAGCAAATTACTGATTCTAAAGTATTTTGTGATGTTTATTTTCCATGTGTTCTGGAGATTCTGAAGTTTCAAAACATACAGATGTATTGCTGTGCCCTACATTTTCTTGCCTGTAGTGACCCAAAAGTTACTGTAAACTTTCTGAAGTTTAACTGGAATTGAGGCATACATATTTTTGAAAGTCAGCCTTGATTTTTCAAAGTTAAACTAGTTTTTCAAAACTGAGGTTTTCTTTGGATGTTGATAATCTAAGTTTATTAGTGTGTCAATACGTGTAAGATCATCAGAAAATAATTTGTGGTTATGGGGGTATAAACAAATATGTCAAATATGGGTATCTAAAGTAAGGATCAGAAATTACCCAAGATTTCTGTTTTCATGGATGCATAAGCATATCTTATCAGCAGAGATTTAAAAACTTCACTCATAAAGCTGATATGACCCTAATCAATAAGGGCGAGTGCATAGTAAGCAGTTAAGTCCCCTTGGATGCAACAAAATTGTAAGATCTGAAAGGAGGAGTACCTGGCATACTCTGCTTGAAGTGATGGTTGCCAAAATAAGTCACCTTTGAAAGTGTCTTGATAGGGAGGAGAAAGAAGAAAGGAATGCTTGCAGTAATGCTGTCACATTTGTATTATTCTACTTACCTACTTTTGTTCTCTCCTCTTTCATCTTCCTTCCAGAAAGTGCCAGAAAATTCTTGGCAAAAACACAGAACTCTGGGAATTTGAAGTTTACAAGTTTAAAGAAATAGGTCAGCTGAAGGTAAGTTAATTTCTGTCTCTTCGCTGAAGTAATTGGCATGCTGTATTTGCCACTTGTTTTGACCAAGTATCTAAAGGTTTGCATTTAATGGCCCTAGTGTGGTAGCAGGATACAATGCTGCCCTTGAAATTCCTACACCAGATCTCCATTTGTAGAGTTGTCTTTCAGATTGATGTGTATATGTTAAGAAGCCTCAGAAAAGGGTTAGAGGCATAGCACATCCAGGTACTCAGCTACCTATTTTTAACTCATTGACAGCCCCCAAGTAAAAGACCTACCCCCAAGGCCTTTGCTTACCAAGATGCTCAGAGTTTAATACATCTTTCCCATTTATTTTCACTCTCTTCTAGTATGTTCTGAAAAATCCTACCCCAACTCTTAAGGAAAATAGCCTCTGTGGGTGCCAACCTTTCCTGAAAATCCAAGTCCCTTGCAACAGAGCCACAGCTTTCAGTGTCAAAGAATAGTTAAATTGCAAAGCAACAGGGGCAACCTATGCTGTGTGCTAGAAATGGTGGCAAGAAAGAGGAGCAGTCTGCCCTGTCTTGTGTTTTCCCTGGTCGCAAGCCAGCTACCATAACAGTACACGTTTAATGTGAGATTCTCAGTTAATAAATTGCCCAGGACATAAGGCTATAGCGCTGTCACTGCCAAATCAGTAGAAAACATTATGCACACTCCCTTTGGTAACACGTCTACGTTTATTTCTGATTTTTATGTCTTCCTATTCAAACTCAATGAGCCAAAAAGGACATATTATGAAGATCTCACAGCATGCAGTCCCTTGCTGGTTTTGAGCTGTTTAATTCTGTTCAAAGAGCGAAAATGTTTCAGTGTTACAGTTTTCAGAAATGTCTGACTTTGGTTTTAGAGCCACTCCAGTGCAAGAACAGCCTTGCTTTTTGTATGAGTTCTTAGTGGTTCGGTGCACTCTTTGCCACTTTGGAAGATGAAATCTCATGTTTCTGTCTCTTTATTTCAATCCAATAAAGGACCTGAGTGCAGGTGAAATTTTGATACACTGCTTCTTAGTCCTTTTGGGTTGATATTTTTATTTTTTTTTAGATGCAAGTGTCTGGAATGGATGCTTTTCTTGTCTTCACTTATGTCATCCACCAGACTGTAAAATATAAAAATATTTACAGGTTTGAGGCAAAAACATTTCTGCTAAATTACTGCCTTTCTAAACAGTTGGTTGTTTTCAGCCCCTTTAAAGTGGACTTAGAAAAAACATAAGATCCAGTGTGTTACGTTATTCAGCTTCAAGCTGCAGTTCTAGAAGATGTTTTTCTTATTTTACTATTTCAATAGCATATAACTTTTCCCAAGTTCCTAAAGATACCTGAATATCATAAAGCATGAACTAAGTTAAGCCAGATCTAAACGAAGTGGTTCTTGTAATGCTTGGAGTCACTTGTGTGCTATTTGGAATTTTTGCCTATTTACCCAACCAGTGGGTATTAAACACGATAGTGTAACTGGGCTGTAATGGCTTTAAGCCCTGATGAGGAGACTCTGAGATTTGGAGACAAAGTGTATTTCGAAAGGGAATTTTCTTACAGAATTTCGACTATGTATAAGTGCTTGCCTGACATCTGTGGTTTCCAATCTAATGTGATTTGCCAATGACTAAGGTGGCAGTAAAACTAAAGGTTTAAACTGTCTTTCCTGAAGAGGGACTAATTAGTGATACCCCAATGTCAAAGCGTGTGGGTTTAGCATCTTGTTTGTTTGGTTGTGGGTTTAGCGGTTTTTTGAGTGTTCTGTACTAAAAGGTCCTGTTTGGCTACCAGAGGCTGCATTTTGGTATCTTGACGTCTCTCATGTCTTCAGTGAATGTCCTCTAGCAAACCTTGTTACGGCGGTTTCAAGATTTTAGATCTGCTCCTCTCCTCCTCCAGCAGTGGTGGCTTGATGGAGATGCGTGCTTGTGCTGGAGTCACTTCAGTGTAAAATCCCATGTCTCAGCTCAAACAGCTGAGGAAGGTGGATTCAAAGGAAGATGCCAAACTCTGTGAGTGCTGGCTGTTGTGACACGAGGGACATGCTCCCTTCTGTCGACTCTGCTGTGACAGCAGTGACTTTCAGCAGGGGTGCAGGATGATCAGCTAGCGGCAGCAATGCTTTCATGACCAAAACATTGGCTAGAGGACACATGAAAGTCTTCACCTGACTGTGGTGGGCACAGCATAGAGCAGCATTATCTGGACAGCCTCTTTCATCTCATAGGTACCCTCTGAGGAATAAGTAATTGTGGTTTGGGCTTATTGGTGAGGTATTTTAGGGTATCTCCTGTCAACTTTTATATGGACTTTCTTGTGTATACTCCATCCTTATACCTATTGATCAAAAGTTTGAGAGCAGGTCTTAAGAAGAAACAAAGGAAGAAAATATTTCTGTATGTAGTATCCTTTTTTTATTTAAAGTCACTTTCACCATGTGATTCAGGAATTGATACCAAGGCAGCCAGATTCTGGAGCTTTTTTTGTCTGACCTTGCTTCTTGACTACTGCTTAAAAATAGGATAGGAGGAGTTTGTAACTTCCAGCATGGGTCTTAGTTCACCTTTGTGTCTAGGCTTAAAATTAACTTGGATGCTTCTCAGTCTTTGCTGAGCACCGAGGCCGAACTGCAGGAGGTGGTTGTGCTTTTCCTTCAAAGCAGTGGGACTTGGGGCAGGAAAGATTTCCTTCCCGGCCCCCACGCAACGAGGCAGCTGCGGTGCTCCACAGCTCGCCGTGCAGCCGAACCGGAGCCAAGAGCTGCAGCAAAGCCTGTCGGGTGAGGCTGTTCATTTAGGAGGTGGCAGGAAGGTAGAAATGGGAATAAAAACAGCCGTTGGAGAATGTCATCTGCCTTTTGAGTCTCGAGCTCATGTCCAGCTTGCTTGCTTTATGGTCAGAAGAGGCTTTTTTGTGAGGGGGTCAGGAATATGATTCCCCAGGGCAGCTGGCAAGACTGTACCCTGAGTTAGCTATTAAATTCTGTGACAGACGGTGGGAGCTGATGTTGGCAGCGTGCTGCGTTTCAAAGACTGGCCAAGTTCAAACAGCACGAGGAGAGAAGAGGTCTCCTGTGGGCAATGAACTTTTAATTTTTGCAAAGTCGTTAATGCTTTTTTTTAATGGTCTTTTATTTTTACTTCCTTTTTCACCTATGGATGGAAGACTTGAAATATGAAACTTAGGAACTTGAAATATGTATCTTAGGCAATTGTTTTGATTGAAATACTAGGAGAATTTGTTGTGAATAGTCATTGCTGTCTGTAAAACTGCAAAGAAAAAAAATGTAGTGAGATGTTACTACTTCTGCTTTGTTCAGGCAACTTGACTAACAAAATGATACTGCACCATGTGCCATTAGTGGGCAACAGGCAACATCTCTGAGTGTTTGGAGGAATTTCATCAGTGTTGGGCCTTCAGCTACAAACCCTGGGGTCCCAGCACAGCTGGGAGCAGTAGGGTTTATTTTGGCAGGTGGTGATAACCTTGGCCTCTACTTGCATGGAATAATAGTGCTAATAAGATGCTGTGCTGAAATTCCAGGGTATGAGCTGATTCATTCTGGCAGGTTCTTGTCTCCTGCCTGCCAGAATGCAGTTCCTTAACACCTATAGAGCAACAGATCACCTGCCTTCTCCCTTTCCATGGAGAGATGTAGTCTCAAATTAATTTTCATTTGGGTGTGTAAAAATAGCTGGCAAAGCAGAACTCTTCATAAAATGTAGTGACCTCGCAGTAAGTCATTAAACATAAATACACTTTTTTCAGCTAATGAATGCTTATACCTTTTTACAAGATGCAAGACGAGGACTGGACAAAATGGATTTTGAAAACTTTCTTCTTTTGAGGGATCTTTCATGGGTTTTATTTTCTAAATGACTAGCAGTAAATATTCAGACTTCTGGTGCGATGGCTGATTCGCAAATTCTAACTGATAGATGGTAAGATACCTAATGAAAATTCTTTCAGATAAGAAATACAATTCCGACGAGTGCAATCCTAAAATAAATAACTTCAGGATGCTACTTAGAAATATGAATATACAGCGCTTCCAGTGTTTACCAAGAGCCATGTTTTGCATGGAGCTTTGTTTTTTTTGTTTCACAACAATTCTTTTTTTCATCATCAGTGTACCAGGATGTTACTTGTCATTCGCCTTCTGACACTTTGTTTTCTTTGTTCCTCTAGGCAATTAGTCGTTACTTGCCGAGACGGGATCCAGTTTTGAAACCTCTGATCTATGAAATGGTCCTACATGAGTTTTTGGAGAGTGACTATGAGGTACTGCAGCATGGCATGTCCGTATGTAATAGTTATTGCGAGCCAAACACCCTCAGAAATGTAGAATTCTGACAACAATTCTGTTGTATTGAAACAGATTATCAATGGACAATTCCACGATAATGAAAAGATGAAAAAGATTAATTTTGGTTTTGTTTTCAAGAGAATAAGTAGAATGTTCTTCAGAGCATGCAAATACTGCGAGATTTATTATTATAAATACTGTTCTTTTTAGTTTGTTTAATGTAGCATAAGTGGTTGAGGTGCTGCACAAAGCCTACAGCACCTGAAAGACACCCAGCTTCATGAATCTTAATAACATTGCCCTAAGAAGGAAAATCTGTGTTCTGCGCTGTGCGTGTTTGTGGGCACGTGAAGGTGCCTTAAAGGTGAAGCACAGCAGGTGTCATCTCAGAGGCTTAGCTAAGGCTTTGATGTTTTGAAGTATTCCTTAGGCAGTTCTTTCTGTTTCTGTTACAATCTCTTATACTTTTAGGGGTTTGCAACCCTGATAAAAGAGTGGCCTGGAGATCTCTACAACAACACAATCATAGTTCAAGCTGTAGTGGATCACCTGAAGAAAGATCCACAGAACAGGACTTTGCTACGAACGCTTGCAGAATTGTGAGTACAATTTTAAACTCCTATTACAAAAAGTAAGCTTGAAATAGTGTACTATAGTTTATAAATATTGGCCTAACTCTCTTAACAGAAATACCTGCTTTGCTCTCTACTCTGCTGATTGCACAGCTTAGCAATTCTTTTCCCTTCCTTATAAAGTGTATGCTGAGTATCAAAGCAAAGAGTTTAGTATAAGATTGGATTTGCTTCTCCTCTTTCCAAAGCAAATAGCTGGCATGCATCTTTATGCCATCAGAGGAAATCTCTTTTGTGAGATGTGCATTTCAGAATTACCCCCAGGAAAATAAAATAGTGGGGGTTTTCCCCACAATTTCAGAAGTAGTATATTTAGGTTTAATGCGTGGCTGGAAATACGTGACTGGAAAACGTGCCAAAACTGATGTGGTTCTGGGCTACTTCATACAGGGATAAAGCTCTTTGGTTTTCTCAGCGTGATTCCCATGTTAAGTTTTTTCCGTACTGCTGCTTTGAAGAAAGCAGAGCTACTATCTATTGCTATGTTACAGTCTGTCCCAAAGTTTTAAGACAACAATGTTTTTTAGCTCTGAAGAAAGTTCCAGTTAGCTTCCAAACCCAGAAAATCTAGTCTTTTGTGTGGCTTCCCCTGTGGTTTGAAAATGAGAAAATGCAAATGCAGAGAACCACATGTCAGAACACAAGTGCGGTGGCTGATATGAACAGATTTGAAATTAATATTGCCCAGTGTTTTATTTCCCTTCAGCAAAAATGAATCACAGCAACCTTTTAGATATTTATCAAATCAAGTAGCATCCTAACAAGCTTTACATCCTAGACTATATTTATATTTTCCCTCATAGGTGATTTTCCTACACTTAAATATGTGAGATCACATGTATTGTAACATTGTTTTTTATCAGGTATACTTATGACCAGCGCTATGGCAGAGCCCTAGAAATTTACTTAACTCTGAGGCACAAAGATGTCTTCCAGTTGATCCACAAGCACAATCTTTTCAGTTCTATCAGAGACAAAATTGTTCTGCTCATGGATTTTGATTCAGAGGTATGGTGATCTTAATGATTTTGTATTCACTTTCCACGAGAGGTATTTTAAGAGATTAAAAATAAATGAGCTAAAGATAGTGTTGAGACAGAGAGTGTGTTCGCTGTGCCTGGATACGTTGTGAGGTAAGGAAGATGATGCTTGCCTAGACTGCAAAATAATTGACCCAAGGATGATTTTTTTCCTTTGTATTTCCCTCTGAGTATCACTCACAGTGAGAAGAGTACCAGATCCAAGATCCTTGTTGTGATTCTCAAGTAGACTTTCACCATGATACTCTTTCTGCATTTCTAATCCAGTAATGCTATTAATAAGCCAAAGAAATGAGGCAGTGAATTTGAGACACATATATTAAAAGTACTTGCCACTTTTCTTTCACTGCAGTCAATTAATCTGCTTCTGAAAGTTGCAAGGTTATTAACTTAAATTCCAAAAATCAGGAAGTGTGCATTTTGTGCTGAATTCTATCTTCTTTCTTCTGAGCTGGCTATAAAGCCTCAGCAAATGAGTTTTGGTATGATCCTTGGGGGAAACCAAGTAGATCTGCTCTTTTTTCAGTGCGGTGGTTGTTTAAGCACTGGAGCTAAAATATGGAGCCTTCTGTACCAAAGATGATCATCTTTGGTATGCCCATTCTAAACTGCGTGGGGGAAAAAGTGTATAATTATTTTTTTATTAGATAGAGTAAATCATATCAGGAATCTGTGGGTTTGTATTTTTTGAATGTGAAGCAAAGTTTGCTCTTGTAAGAGGAAGCAGAACTGGAATCCTGGTGGCCGTTCCACTTAGAGTCTTGTCTGCTTGTGTTACGGTATCAGTGTGCAGATAGTTTGGAGGAATCCAGTTGTAAGGCAAGTTGAGTCGTGTGTTTCTTATACAGCTGTCACCCTGCAGTTCCCTTTCGCAATGGGACAAATAGTATTTCTTCATCATTTGGCAGTGGCCTTCTGTGACCCATGATTCGATGGACATACTTCACCTGCAATATAAATGCACATCATTGATTGCTATTAGTGTGGAAACTTAGAAGTATTCTGGAAGAATACATGATGTGTTCTCCTGTAATGCTGCGCTGTCGAGGAATGCTGATTTTATGCAAACTGCTCTCTGAATTACTGTTGCTGAAAGGAATAGGTCTGCAATATCCATCTGATACCCATCAGTGAACAAGCATAATACAATATAGAGTGTGAGAAAATGTGTGTACCTGTTTCTTAAGTGGGTTCTTGTTTCTTTACTTTAGAAAGCAGTAGACATGCTTTTGGATAACGAAGATAAAATTTCCGTGAGTATAACAAGGTCATGGCATGGCAGTCCAATGCTTGCTTGTATTACCCATCCTTCTTTCAGTCCTGTAAACGTGATGTTCGTCAGAGATTTGCTCATCGGTTGGGTTTTATTTGTTTTCTTTCAGATTGACAGAGTTGTTGAAGAATTAGAAAACAGGCCTGAGCTACAGCACGTGGTAAATATTTCTATATATTCTGTTAGCTTTGAGTTGAGCTGAATAAACTCTTTGCTGGGCATAGCTTTTATAGATGTGGTTATCCTGTCAGAGTGCACATGACACTGAAATGTCATAAATTATCAGATCCAAAGTGGCTACTTTTGCTAATCCATTTTTTAACATGGCAATAGCATTTTTACAATAGTGAAATAATTTTAAAATGTGTACCTATGAGAACTTGATAATGTACCACTTACTTGTTAATGTGCTGTGAGGTACTCCTTACAGCATTGCAGACACTTGTCAGTTACTTCTTGCTTATATCCCTTTTCCAAAAATGGGGTTGGATGGTGGGTGCAACTCTGAAGCATGTTTTGCTGATCCATAGAGACAGCAAACCACTTCTCTTTCTAGATCTGTAACTTCCATACGCTGCAGGATTGTTCTTGTTTGTGCAGAATTACAGTCTCTCTCTAAGGCTGTGGGTCCACCTTGCTATTCCAAAAGCACCTCTTCGGTTTGAACGTGCTGTCAGTGGAATACGTAACGTGTAACTGTGGGCTTGGGCTGTGTTATGGAGGGAAGTTGGACTTGCTGCTGTGTACAGGTGGGGTTTGGGACATCGATTTGGTGGAGAGCAGGTTTATTTGTTAGAGATCTGATTATAAGAAGCAGCTGTATGAAGCGTGCAGCCCAGGAGCTTTGGAAAGATGACTGACTGACTGTCAGTTCATGGAAGGGATGCATCAGTTTCAAAGTGTGGAGGCTGCTTGCCTTTGGATAAAAGTGACCCTCATAATTATTCTGAAGGCTTTTCTGGGCTCATCTAGGGAGGAAGGAGCTTTGCCACAGTATCTGTACTTCAAGGTGCTTTGGCTAAAACATTCCATGTGGTAAAAATTTGATCTTTAGTTATCTGTAATGGTCAAGCATATCTAGAAAACTGAAAGAAAACATTCCATGTGGTAAAAATTTGATCTATAGTTATCTGTAATGGTCAAGCATACCTAGAAAACTGAAATGTTTCATTTGACATATTTCTCCAAAGTTTTCCATAAAATTCAAAATTCAGTAGTTTCCTTGAAGGTTAAAGGACAGTTCCTTAAGTACTGCTGAAAACCTGTTTTACAGAGCTGGTTTTGGAGATTGCTGTGATGAGGGTACTTCAGAAAAATATAGTCTTTTCTATCAGCATTTAATCTCGGTGCCTCTTAGTATGTGTTCTCTTAATTTCCTCAGGAATATGCTGAGTTTTTTAATAGCGGAGAACAAATAATATTGTATATGTGGTTTTGAGTTCTGATTCTCTTTTTTTGATTCCTAGTATTTGCACAAGCTTTTCAAAAGAGACCACCATAAAGGCCAACGATACCATGAGAAACAGATCAGCCTTTATGCCGAATACGATCGTCCGAACTTACTACCATTTCTCAGAGACAGCACGCACTGCCCGCTAGAGAAGGTAAGCTCCCAAACTAAACACAGATCCTCGACGTTTAGGACTGTAGGTTGTAGTGGTGTGAATTTGTAACTGTCTGGTACTGCCCTCTGCTGCCAAAAGGAGAGGTCCTTTGAGTCTGTGAGCATCACCTCCAGGTTTGGGTTGTCAGAGCTGGCTGACAGCTGAGACCTTTCTCTCTCAGCTCACAGGGCAGGAATCGGTGGGGGGTTTTAATGCAAAAGTTCTGAATTCCCACTTGATGCGTAACTACAGCATATCTACTCGTCAGTGCCTGGCCTTGACTGAACAGCAGGTTGTGGTTGCAAGAAGTCAACAATCATTTTGCCAAATCTAGGACTACTCAGTGTTAGATCTTGAAAAATGAGTCGCTGTAACTGGAATTTTTCTAGCTTTGTATTCTAAGGTCCTAAGTTTTTTTTCAAATAAATATACAGATTGTAGCAGTCACTGAACTAGCAGAACTAAAAGTAGTTTGTCTTTGTACTTCCACTAGTAGATTTGGGGTTTTACAGAGTACCATGTTTCTACCTTCTTTAACCTTTTAACCATTTTACATTTTCCTTCCTTGCTCTTTCTTGTCAAATTAATAAAGTGCAGGGCAGTCTTGGTTTTTTCCACTGCTTGAATTAAAGTGAATTGAATAGAAATTTAAGTTTTCCTCTTTGAGTCAGTATTTTATTACTTGTATTTGTTGCTGTTAAAGGCTGAGCAGAGCAGACTTTGTGAAAGGATGTATCCCTGTATGCAGCTATAATGGTGACACCAGTGGAGTAGTTATAAATGTAATATTGAATATTGCATTTTACATGGTTGACATTCTAAAGAAAGCTAGTGCTGTTCCTGGCACCTCTCTTGTTTTGCATGCTGTTGTCAACTTTACCTTGCAACAGCAGGAACCCTTGGAAAATACTTTGTTAGGATTGCAAGCTTGGTCTTTGAAACTGTTGTGTGAAACTAGGTTGTTTCAGTGATCTTTTTAGGCAGTGAACCCAAGAGGTTTCCAGCCAGAAGCTTTTGTCTACAATGTTGGCTTATTTGTTTTTAACTCTTTTTCTCTCTTAATTTTTGCCTTATGTATTATTTGTGTGATCATGGTTTTATGTATAAAACCTTACCTGCGCGCTTTTTTTTTTTCAGAGCAAATTAGTTTTAGTTATTGCAGATCCAGTGCTGTGTCTAAATGATGCGACCATATTGCTGACACTGCTTTGCTAAAGTTATGGACTGTGAACAAGGATATGTCAGAGACGTGTGAAACTTTGGAAGGTGTGGTGCAATAATCACCAAAGTGAGAGAAAAGGATTTTAGAACAAGTGTCATTCTAACCTTACGTTAAAATGTTAGTGTGTTTCAGGAAGAAGCTAAGATATCAAGACTATGTAAAACTTAGTTGAACTTAGTGTCACTGCTAATTCTGTAATTATACTTCTTACCATACGTATCTTATAGTAACGCTTCTTGCCACATAAATCCTTGTTCTAAGGAAATAAAAAGGAGACCAAGTGTTTCCCAGTTACCAATATATTCAGTTCCTGTTAAGTGAATTCTAGTGCAGTGTATAAATTTCAAAAAGCCATATTTGAACAAATTCACGCTTCTTACTGCTTTAAAGAAATTATGAACTCGGCAGGAAGAAATAATTATTGTTCTTTAAAAGTCAGTCGTCCTTATTCCAGTGCAGTTTAGCAAATGTTTTCTAAAAGGCACTGAAAGAGAAGTATCAATGTTCCCTGGTTTCCTCCAGAGGGAGCAGGACAGTCAAGAAACCTGCAGCATCCAGCACTACTGAATACCTGGTACTTTGTAGTTTAACGTCTATGTGGAGACAAAAAAGGCTGTCAGCTGTGCTGAGCTTACTGGGATTATTCATAGCTTCATTCCCCTGAAGTATCTGCTTAGTAATTTACTTACCTCTACCCTGAAATTCATTGTCCATATCTCTAATCTTCATAGTAACCCATCTGCAATAATTTGAGAATGGAAGGAAAAGTTAAGTCTTATCTACATCTTTATCTGTAGCTGTATTTTATGCATTTATAGTGTTGATTTCCAAGTATGAAAGTCCATATTGGTGAACAGTTGTCTTCACAGGAATGCTATGAATCTTGAGTTTGCTTTCCGCTTCCAAGTTGGAAACAGACATGGCATCATTTATGGCATACCAGCCCTGCCAATTTTCTGTTACTGAAAACTTATCGGTAATCAGTTTGGTAGTTTTGGTAATTGTGCTAAGCATTTTTCAACTCTACACAGATTCTGTAACTGCTCATGGTATTTAGCCCTCAGGTCTTTAAACCAAACTTACAAGAAATGCTTCCTCCTTGCTCTTTCATATTTGCTCTAGGTTATTTTTGTATTGTCTTCTTGGAGGTCACTGGTACAAAATTTAGAGGGCATCTCTACCTCCCAAAACCATTCTGGTTACCCTGAGGAGATCTGCAGTCTTGTGTTATGAATGAATGCCAAGCAGACCTCCATCACTAGAGACCTCATAAGTCCACCTGCAGGAAGCAAGTCATGACAGCAGATAACATTAATGCTTTTGGATTAACTAACTTTTGGAACTGGAATAAAGAAGTGGATTTAAAGGTAGAGATTGGCATAATCCAGACTGAAATATGTGTCCTATCCCTAGATTTATTTCATCTTGGAGTAAAATTTAAAAAAATGCTGTGGAGTTTCTCCTCTTAATTAATGCCAGAAGACCTGACAGTGCATATTAAGAGAGCTGTATTGTCAAAATGAGTAATGCAACTTCATGGAAAAGTATCTTTAAACCTCTTGCAGCATTTGTGATCAATAAAATATCGTGTTACATAGTTCTCTGTATTCTCTTTCTTTTTCCTTCCCTTAAATTCAAGGCTCTTGAGATCTGCCAACAGAGGAACTTTGTAGAAGAGACAGTCTATCTTCTGAGTAAGTAATGCTCAGTGTGATAAATTACAACATACTTTTAATCTTGTCATAAAGTTCATGCTGCAAAAAAAAAGTCTGATGTATTGTCTAATACTCTGTAACACGCTTTCCCAGAGACAAAGTTGGCATCCAGTCAGTACAAACAAGTAACATGATTTAAAAATTAAAACAAAGCACTGGGTTATTCATATGAAATATTAAATCCATATATTGTGTTACTGCGTTTCTGATTTGGTGTTTTTTCTGGGGTATTGGAGGGGCTATGGGGAACCGGTTGGAGGGAGAGGCATTTTGGAGACATCTCCGAGAGAAGAGTAATACTGTTTGAAGAGAGGGGAGAGATAAATCAAATGTTTTATTCTGAATACATCTCAGAAGCTTAGTATTATCTTTTGCTGAGGTGGAAGATTTGCTTATGCTGCCTTTTTTTCTTTTGCTTTATTTAAAAAAAGTTAATTGGAAATTAACTCCTCCAGCAGGCCAAGGAACCTACCTCTGAATGGGAGGTATTGTAAGACTAAGATTTTTATGTATGTTTATGTATTAGTCATGAATAGAAAGCATTTTTTTTAATCAGTCTTTGTTTTAGTAAGAGGAATGGTTTGGGACCATTTGAGAGCAGAGTAGGATTTACTCATGGATTTATTTAAAGAATAGTTCAGCATTTTCTACTACTTCCTCTTCCCTTCATTCATTTTCCATAGGGTGTAAGCTGTGCTATACTTATTGCAAATTAAGAGTGCCCATGCCAGCTCTTAAAGGGGGTATTTCATGTCATAGCTTACATGCATATGCATACGCATACACATGCTCTCCCTTACATTAGATGTTGCTGCAGTTCAGAACCCCTAGTATGACCCAACACATCCTTAAGAAAGGCTTCAGGTCCTAGTCCAGCAAAGTGCTCCAAGCACTTGTTCGGATTATACTGGTTGCTCTGGGATTTGCATTCCTACATCAGATTAGATTAGATTTGGTCTTGGTTGAATTAGTCTGAGGCACCTTCACACTTCAAAAAATCATATTGAAAGAGCTTCTTAAAGCACTGAGCCTTGACAAGCATTTAGGATTAATAATCGCTTGGTTTTTTTCTTCTAGGCAGAATGGGTAATAGCCGCAGTGCCTTGAAGATGATAATGGAAGAATTGCAAGATGTAGATAAAGCTATTGAATTTGCCAAGGAACAAGATGATGGAGAACTTTGGGAAGACCTCATTTTATATTCTATTGACAAACCACGTAAGTGGGATAGTTTCTCAGAAGGCCTACATGTGTATTTTTTCGTGGAATGCTACTGCAATTAAAAGATTGACTTATAGGCGTGCATGTTAGAGAAGGTGTTTATGGATGGCCAGGGAGGTGTTCTGGTTTGTGGAGCACAACATAGCTGTCCTGCTGTGCATAAAATCTTCCAGTAAGGCAGCATGTGGGCATGCTACAGAATGAGTACTTAGGGATTTAATATTTGACTAAGCTCTGCATAGTTATGTCCTTAATGACAAATTAAGGGGAGAATGGTGCTTTTAATTTGGCAGAATGAGGCTTTATTTTTAGACAGCCTCAAAACACAGTCTACAGGCTTGATGAAGATGTTGTGTAGTGTGTTTATTGCAGCTGCTTCCCTTTGAAATTCTGAAAATGAAGAACGTACACCTCTCTGCCTCTCCGTAAAATAACAAATTTGTTTTGTTTCTGTGGCACAAAAGTAAGGTCTGTAATGAGTGCATTTTGCCTTTCATCAATTATATGAATAGCTACTCAAGTTTAAAGTTTAGATGGAATCAGAAACTGTCAGAATCTCATAAACAACATCAGTTTTGTTCAGGAGGCAGATTCAGAGTAGTTCATAGGACTGAGAAAATAGAGAATTATTTTAATATCTACTCTATTAGTTTTGCAACCTCTTCTGGGGCTTTAAATCAAGGCTTTAATGTCTCTCTTGGGATCTCTTTTCCAAAGGATTGAATGTCTTGTAGAATTAGTGTCAGAATACGTATCTTTTCATCCCTTGGCTGCTAATTCTGACAGGAAGAAGCAACCGAGGTCTGTTACTCCTTTAGAAGAACGGCATTCTCAAGTTACCCGTACTTAAATGTATTCCATCACTAAGTGATGCTGCAATTAGTGACATCTTTAGCACAAAAGGGTTTCAAAGCATATAGAATTCTCTCAGTTCCCTCTGTCCATATGCAGAGCGATTCCAGTGATACTCCTTCGTTTTGGGGGTTGAAGAAAAAACAGAGCCTTGAGGTTCATCCTTCTAGTGTTTCATTTAGCCAGGTGCACTTCAAAAAAGCTATAAAGACTTCTTTTCTGTTGCTCTCACCAATTTGTTTTTAAACCATGGAACTGGGAATGGAGCAGTTGCATAATGTAGTTAATTTTCTGGCTGTATTTGCTCTAGTGTCCTTTTTATTGAATTGAAATGCTTTATTTACTTGTGGGTTTGTGCTGGGTACTCTGATACTCCTTTTCGGAATACTCTAGAAGTTCTGTGAATTGCCAAACTGTATCTCTGTACTTTATTCAAGTAAATACAGCTGCAAGAAACAGATGAAGGCTATGTAAAAGAGGCTTAGTGTTATCTCTTAGTAGAGAACTGTCATAGAATCAGCCAAAGCCTGTAGCTTGTTACCAAAGCATGCTTTAATCGGCTATTTTGCTGGGTTTATTTTTTTTCTTAATTTCTTTGCCTCTTGGTTTTCACAGCTTTTATTACTGGTTTGTTGAACAATATTGGAACCCATGTTGATCCCATTCTTTTGATCCACCGCATTAAGGAAGGCATGGAGATTCCTAATTTGAGAGACTCACTAGTGAAGATTCTTCAGGACTACAACTTGCAGGTAAATGTTGCATTCTTCCTCTGATACTCATTTTCAGAGAGACAGCAAAATCACTTTGTCACTGAACAGCACGAGAAACGGCTATCGTGAAGGTTTGTTCATTTTGTTCACGGACATCTGTCATTGATGCTGTGAGTTGGTACAAAACTATGACAGAAAGGGTAGAAATTTGTCAAAACGAATAGTTTCTTCTCTTGATGGCATCTAGCACTTCTAAATCTCTCCCGTGCTGTCCTAAGCCTGGTGGGTAAGTAGAACTGGAAGGATCTTGGGTAGTTCAGACTATTTTATACTGCCTGACTTGACTGTCCAATATTGCAAAGTCTCATGACCAGTACTTTTCATTCTGTTTCAGATATGAGGAGGCAGAACACAACATACACTCACTAAAACATTCACCAGGTATTAGAACCATATGTTAAGTGTCGTACATAAAGGAAGATGAACTTTTAAAATCAAATTCATGGCTCTTGTGCAGAAGGTGTTGACTTCTATGCATTAAAAAAAAAAAAGTGCTCATTGGATTATGGGAATTCTTCCTACATGACTGGTTCTGACACGTGTTTGTAAGAACTTACAAGAAGTGTAACCTTCAATGTTCCTGAAAGTAACAACAGAGAGAGTTGCATTGCATGGTTTAAATCTCCTTGCTACAAACCGACCCAAACTTGAGTTCTCTGTGGTGCTCCTCTGCACCTTCCTACTGGGAGACATAAGGATATAGAGCACTTTGAATGTTTCTGGTGTGACTATGCAGGGTCCAAAAAAAAACATAGCCCAGTAAGCAGCTGAAACTCCAATTTTCAGAATGTCATAAGCATCTGTTTGACATCTGCTATTACTCTTTGGACATCTCTAGCAAGTAGATGGGCTTGATGGTTTTCAGTAAGGTCACGGTTGGTCTCTTACCAACCAAATAAAGCCTGTATCTGCTAGAGCCTTCAATAATGTCAGAAGGCCTTTTAAAAAGGCAGGGTTTAAGCCTTTCCAAGGCTTTCCCATTATTTTATTATCATATGGGCTTTAGATTATGACTTTCACTATTTCAGAGAAGCATTTTACATGTGTTGTTCTCCTGACACCCTTATGTGCAAGGAGCTACTCCAGCTAAACAGATACATGTTTGCATATAATGCATGTTGTAATGTTACTTCCAATTTTTGACTTAATGAGATACTAATATCTTTCCAAAATGATACTAGGTAAATAACGTGCTGCGTTTAAACAGTTGCATGGTAATCTTGCTGCTGTCAGCACCCTGCTGCTTGCACTGCTGATCCTCTTGTTCCTGCATTCTCTTGAAATCAAAATGTAATTTTTGGTGTGTCTGTAGGCAGACTGAGAAAGTGCTGTGTGCATAGCTGCAGCTTTACACGTATGCAAAATACATTGCGTGGCTTCAGACAAAGCTGATGACATCGTTTGGTCACGTTTTGGGGAGGGAAGAATCATTTTATCTTTAAATACCTTTTAACAAAATTACTTTGGGATTAAAAGGATGTATTTAACCTTCAGAGTGATATCTAAAATTATTTGCTGTTAGCATTGAAATGGTTCATGGATTTCAAATTCATTCATTTTGAAGTAGATTTGGATAGCTCTAGGGGTAAAATTTAGATCTCATGGGAATAATAAAAATTAGGGAAGCTTAATGTAATTTGTGCTTGGCTTGCTTGTATGGTAGCAAAACAGTACAGCCAAAAAAAAGGGGGACTATTTTACTTTAGAGAAAAGTAAGCAATAGCTTAAAATCAGACTGTTCCTGCAGTCACAGCCAGTGTAAAAGGCACCATTTATGAACAGATGGTGTGTCTATGCTGAAATTTAGAGATGTGATTGCAGCTCTTGCACACTCACCTAAGTAGCCTTAGATTGGCAAGCTCAAGTTTTATAGCAGGACTGTTTCTGCATTCAGCGTGTGCTTCAGGACATGGCTGGGACTTCAGGTAAATGTCTAAGTGGCCTCTCGTTGCTGAGGGCAGTTTTGCCCTAGCCTCATCATAACTGCTGCCCCATTAGCTATTTTAAAGGTAGCCTTTGGTGTAGCTGTATGATGCCTGATCACACCTTCGCATCATGTTGTGTAGGTTCGTGGCGAGAACCTATTCTGCGTCCTCTATTCTGGCCTGGCACAACTCTTTGAATTTTGGTAAAAACTTCCCGATTTGTATCACCTAATGTACCAGACATTTTGAATTCATACAGAAATCCAAATTTGGTTGGCTAGGAATTTCTGTAATTTCACCTCTTTGGATCTTGAGCTCTGTATGCACATAAGTTTTATTGTTCCTATTTTCAAAGGCAAAAAGAAAAATCTTGTGCCAAGATCCACAGAGGAGGCGTGCAGATGCAGTTAGAACCTGTTGCTTGGCTTCAAGTCACTGCCAAACACAAAAACTATGCTGATCTTTTTCATAACGTTGGCTCCCCAAAAGCTGTTACAACTGTGCCTTTATATTATTTAATTGTGGCCTCCCTCCTTTTGCCAGCCCTGATAAGATTGTTTTATGCTTATGTAAGTATGTGGATGCAAATTTCCTGTTATGCTCCTAAATTTCCATAGCAGTAAACTTTACATAAGACATGATTTGCAGTATGAGTAGGAGCTAAAAGCAGTGCCTTTGACAGACTTTGTCTTTTTGACAACAATTCTTTACGTCTCAGCAAAACCAAGCGAATCAAATTGAGTGGCTGCCAAAGCATGCCATATGTGGCTTACACTGTGCATTAGAGAATCCAGCAAGGAAGTCTACTAATGCAAGAAATATTTGCTGTAATTCTTTTTTTTAGTCTAGGATCTTCCCTGAATAATTTAAGTTTTTATTAATGTTGGCATATTGTAGACTGATTGCTTCACTTTAGCAAATTATCACCCATTAGATGAACGGCTGCAACTGTTCTATGTGCTACTCTAAGCTCACCTCAGCTCTAAAGTAACGTGGTTAACTTACACCTTTGAAAAGGAGTTAATATCTGTTCATGCCAACCAACCAAGCATGGCACTAAGATAGAATTAAGTATTCTATTGGGTAGAAATAAAATGTAGATCATATGAGACTGTTCTTAGGCTACAGCTTCAATTAAGTACTACTAATTTACCTTTGCTCTGGGGTTACAGCTCTGCTTTACAAGTAGGGGTCTATTAAGCTGCCTTATTCTTGAAGAATACCCTTTTTTATTTTCCAGCTTCAGGAAATGCAACTGCTGAGAACTTAAAAACTGAGCACACTCTTAAGTATTCTCCTAAGCAGGATAAGATTAAGTACTCGTTTAAGTGGTTTTCTGAATTGAGATTAAAACTCCCAAGTGATTATTTATTGTTGGTTTGTTTTTTCCCTTCTGAGGATCATTTATTATAATGTTTTCTCTTTGTCGTTGTCTCAGTTAATGCATTAAAGCCATGGTACGTAATCGAGTGACGTTGGTTTATTGTAGTGATGAAAGTTTATTTACTACTGAAATAATACTGATTTTAGTGTTTATATACAGTAACATTCACAGACAACAAAGTTATGAAGACATAGGCAACAAAGACAAAGTTACAGTTGTCTGAATTTTAACAGGAGTATTTATCAAGTAAATTGTAGTCTAAAAGTTGTTTATTATATTTTATGTCTAACTCCTGAAATCTAGTTCTTTGGTGCCATAAATTTATAGATCAAATAGACCACAGACTACTTCCTTTGAATTTATAAGCTCCTGAAGATGTGTTGTCTTAAGGAGAAACCTGCTTATTTATTAGAAATTACACATTCCTAGCACATTTTTTATTTAATGGCAAATAAATCACCATTCTTCCGTCAGCATTTTCAACATAACTAGGTACCATTCAAATCCACGGCAAGCTAACCAAATTGAGCCGAGTCATATTGATACTCTGACAAAAGCGTAGTCATTTTCATCTTTGCTGCTTGCCTGTTCTCAAAGACACAGAATCAGAACTCAACTTGTCTCTCCATATAATTGAAAAGTTGTTGTCAGTGTAACTTTAATTTGGTTTCCACACAGAGACATTGCTTCTCTGAGACTCAGACAGAACCTCTGTTCCCATTAGGAATTTGCCAGTGCAATTATTTTTAAAAATTCCTTAGCCAACACAATTAGGGCAGTAATGCTCTTATTTGAAAATTGTAGCAAAATCAGCATTTACTAGTATTGCTATGCAAAATATAAATTAAAACTATTTTTTTCAGTGAAACCAGTGCTACTGATGATGTTTTTAGACAACTTCTTTGGACTGACACTCATCAGTTGTACAACGGTTTGATTTTAACGAAGACCTTCTTTCTCGAATGTACCATTGAACTCTGTATTTGTCTTGTATATTCAGTTCCCTGGAAATTAAATTGAAAAAGAATATGAAATGGTTCACACATGTTTAAGTCTGTGGTATCTGATTACACAGTGGTCTTACCTTAGGAACGACTAATGCAGGAGCCTCTCTTAAAGTCAGTCATACTCCAGGTTTCTAAAACACTGTATCACGTCTCACAGTGAAGGCTGATAGAAAATTCCCTTATTTGTGCACTTAGGAGTCAATTATAAGCCCGTTACACTTTCTAAATGTATAAAATAGTGTCTCTTCAGCTTCGGTCTATACCCAAATGAAATTTAGGAAATGCTTGCGGTGTTGGAAGAGATTTAAATACCTCCCTCATTTCAGAAAGAAATGCCTAATTTCTCACCCTTTGTATGACAGTTGTTAGAAGAAAACTTCAAAAGATGTTGGTATTCTAAGACTTTTTTTTTTCCCCTAGTTTTAAAATATAAAAGCAATTTGTTTAGATGCAGTACCTCTAGGATTTATGGATTAGCCATATGTTGACTGACTAGTTTGCACTTCGATTGAACCTGGGGTAACTCTGATGGATAACAGAGATTGATCCATTCATAGAATTCACATCTATCCATTCATAACAGAGTTTATCAACTACTAGAACCCGATGAGAGTCTGATGAATGCTGCTTGAAACAGCACCTGGAAAAATTGTTGGGTTTTGCTCCTGAACGTGAATAAGCTGCTGTTCAGACACTTTGGAGGCACTGGGGGACAGGTGGCAGGTTGCACAGAGGCACGTCTGCCTTTTGGTTGTACAGACTAAAAATCATGTGGTTTTGATTGTGGTTGTGATGCCGTTTGGAAGAATTTGGTTAATTGACCTTGAGAAACTTGGATTTAGTTGAGTGCTAGGCCTGAATTTATTCCCAGAGCTTTGAGTATACCCTTTCAAATTAACTGCCTACTGCAGTGTTTTCCTTTAAAGATCATGTTAGGCATTTGTAAATCAGGACTTTTGTAATTAAATTGAAGTTTTTATGGCTTCTGATTTTAATTATGCAGTAGCATCTTCCCTAATAGTCAGAAAATGAACTAGGATTCTTTTTTGCAATAAATGTTTTGGTTTCAGCAGTTTTCATTACTTTGGTAAAAAGGTTTTTATCTGCCTAAAACTTCTTTCTGTAGGTGTAACATGCCGTCCTACTTGTGCTTATGATGATGTGCTTTTAAGGGGTAAAAAAAAGTCCAGTTTCATCCTTTGAGTCCTGTTTCTTCTCCTCGGAGAGTGGTTTCGTTACAGATTTGTGCCCGATGTCAGTTTTAACTAGTTTAGCCTAATCTTAGGGTGCACAGTTATATACTTCTCCCTCCTTTTAATGTAAAGAAGTTAATTCAAACATTCTTTCTCCCTCTGTCTCACCTCCAAATTCTCTCTGCTGCTTCTCTTTCTGTAACTCTTAAATTACCCGTCTCATCTTTGAGCTCTTCAAATCTGTTTCTGCAGAAGTGTTGAGATTTATTACCTTGAGATTTGACATTTTACATTCTTCATTGTGACTTTTCCTTTTATAGCTGCCTACTGTATTGCATTTCTAGCAAAATAAAGTCTGACAAACAGTCATTGAATGTGGTATAGAAAAATCTTGATGGAGTTTAAATAATGGGAGAAAGATAGTGCATGTGTCTTAACATGTCTTATAAGGTATTTCTGTAACTTCTGGTTTTTAAGGTATCAGCCAGTATTCAGGTTTTCTAGTGACCTAATGATGTCTATTGTTTCCCTCTTTATTTTTTTTAATGAAGTTTTTCCCGTTGGCACACTGTATTTTAAGTAGAAAACAGTAAATCATGCTCCCTTCTTCCCATTGTATCTCTGTTCCACCCCTCTCATTTAACATGCTTGCTTTGCTCCTTTTACTTAAACAGGGGATTTTTAATCTGCTTATGCTGAGTGCAGCTAGCAAAGACTCCAGTATATAGCCAAGACCTCATCCACTCTAAGTTATTTCACTGTTTTGGGGATATAATTTGCTGATTGAGAATATTTTGAACCTGGCAAGTACTAATTCTGAAAGGTAATCTCATTCAATTGTCCTTGCAAAAAGTTTCTAGTATTTTTTTTCAAAGCTAGTGACATTTTTCTACATCTGTAACGAAATTTAACATTTTCTGTTGCCCTTGGATAAAGTTGGAAGGGGAGAGACATACTCAGGTAGTTCCTGAGATTATCACAGATAAAAATGATTAATTTTCTAAGTGTTTGTCTTGTAGAGCTGCATTCAGTTTCTGGTGCTCTGAAATGTTTTATAGTTCAGTCGGTCTAATACTGGAGAATGTCATTTACCCACTGACGTGCCCAGTTTGAAATGCTTGAAGCGTTACTCAATTTTAATTTTTTTAATGTATTTCAGATTTGCAGTCTTAACTGCGTATCATTCTTGGCAGTGTGTCCTTACTACTTCACAATGTGTATGGGAGAAGATAGGGTTTTGGACAGCATTCACCTGGCTGTAAAATCTATTCTTATACTTCTTGTTAGGTATTTGCATTAGCTGTATCTTGGACTATTTTAGAATGCTTAATGTCTCCTCTAATGCAAATAATCAGGAGAAAGAAATGGACATTGCTTCTTTATACCACTTTTTTGGTGGGGTTGTTCAGCTTAGAACTGACTGTGAGCCTCTCTTGAAAGCACTTCTTAGAGGAATTGTTGTCTTGGAAAACAAATTTCCAAACATCAATTCAGGAGGAGGAAGAAAAATTCCACAAGACTTATATGGGCTTGTCATATTTTCATACTTGCTTCATTAAGTATTGTGAAACAAGACTCTCTGTGAATGGCCTTGATTCCTTTTTGTGTTTGACATGTCATTGCCTGACAATGTTGTGACTCTAATGGAAAAATGTTAAATAAGTAGAAAGGGGGCTGTGACTTTGGCTAAAGAGGAACAGACTCTGGACCTTTGGTTAGTTGAATGGACATTTAATACTGCTTACTAAATGACACCTCCGCAGGAAATATGTTTGAACAAAATAAACTGAATTTTTGTGTTTACGAAGGTTTTATAATTATCAAATGCCTTTCCTAAAGAAGACAGGAAATATATGGGTAGAAGTTTTGAAATGGTTTGGAAATCAATTGTGAGGGGCTCTGTAAAAATCCCTCTCCTTTGTACTTTGTTAATGCAAACTCATAGGAAGAAGACCATGATTTATGACAACTGTATATTTGTAAAGGATTTTTTTTGAGGTGTTGGGTTTGGGGTGGGTTTTTTTGTTTGTTTTGGTTTGTGTTTTTTTTTTTATTATTCTGCGAGTTTTTCATTTAGGTAGAGGTGGTGGTAACAGGAGGTTTCTCCTGTCCCTTCTTCATAATAGCTTGAAAAGTCTTAAACGTTCCTTGCACTCTTTTTGGCAGCAGAAACCCAGTGGAGACTTGCCAAGATAGTTGATATGCCCATCTATTCAACAACTGCCATATTTTGTGTTCTTTACACCAACAGATCTTGCTGCGGGAAGGTTGCAAAAAGATACTTGTTGCCGATTCTCTTTCTTTATTGAAGAAAATGCATCGAACTCAGATGAAGGGTGTTCTAGTAGACGGTGGGTACAGAGGAAACATGGTGACTTTCAAGGTTTTGAAGCCTTTTACTTGGTTTATAGACCCAAGCTACATGACTGTCTGCTTTGGAAGCTGCCCAGAAGCCTCGGTATTTTACCTTATTTGTAGAGAGTAGTAGGATACTAGCTGTTTTCCCTTTTGCAAAGAAACTACATGTGTCTCAAAAACTACAAGACTTAGCTTTTTCTCTTGATCAGTCTCTGCATAGCCAGTAATGTATTGTGTCCTGCAGTTTGTCTGTGAAGGTTTGGGTTGTGTCCCGCAGTTTGTCTGTTCAGTGCCAACATAGAGACTTGGATGATAATAATCTGCAACCAAAGCAAAAACTACAAGATAGTTTTCAGAAATAGTTGAAAATATTTTGCGAGGTGCTAATGATGCACGTGAGCAGTGCTGTAATTCACACCAGCGGAGTGTTAATACCAAGAGGCAAAAGCTGACAGTACAGAGGATCAGAGCTCCTGCTACAAAATGCTGCAGAGGTATCAGGCACCCATCCTGTGCTCCTGTTCTTCAGTTGGCCTTGTGCCTCTACAGCGCTGGTCCTAAACAGTCTCACTCATCAGAATCAGAAGATCTAAACATTTCTCATGCTGTTAATAGAAATGCTGCTTCAGTATTGCTCTTTAATTTTTAATAGACTCTGTTAGGCAGCTTAAGTAAGTACTTTAAGACCAAGCTCCGTTTCTGTAATAGCAGTATGTTCATGCGGGCTTTATAAAAAAGTAAACATGGAGTTTGTTAACAAAGCTGTTACAAGTTTGTTTTCTTTTGTTTTTCCAGAGGAGAATATCTGCGAATCATGCCTGTCTCCAATACTTCCTTCAGGTAGGATGCTTTTCTAGAAGAGAAAGAGGTTGTCTCTTTTTTTAATTATTATTATTTTTAGAGGAACTACTGTTTGCTTTTATTCATAGAAATGTGTAGTACTCTCCCTTGGTAATCACTGTATAAATTTCAGTATCCTGTGCAAAGCTTGTTTATGAATTCTGACGCAGGAGTGGAGTCTAATTTGAACTTTTTTTTGTTGTAGTAAACGCAGATTTTCTTTCTTACTCATCTTTGACTTCCTTATTTTCGGTTTTGAAATCCATGGAATGCAAGGCAACTTTTAATTCCATCACGTTATTTAATGTTTCTGTGTGTTTAATAGAATGCAGGCATATACTGCTGTAGCCACTGAATCGTTTGTTTCATTGCTGTGTTGTAATGAATTTACTTTTCTCTTTCCCAGATGCATCCAAGTCCTTCAATGTGGTGGTGTTCCACTGCAGACATATGTTTCACAAAGAGTGCCTCCCGGTATCTAACACAGTAAGGACCTCGCTTAATCTCTCTGACACCTTTGCCAAAGATAAAAGGACAAATTATTTCCTTTTGTCAACTGTGGAGAAGGGCATGAGTCTTTCAGGAATTATAATAAGATTATAGTAATTATTTGTGATGATACCTCATAGGAGTGTGTGACTAAAGAAAGGGAGTTTAGGGCCACTGCAACTGAAGTTCATCCAATTTAGAAAGAAATTGCTGCTGTTTGAGAAGTGTTTTATCACTTTCTGCAATCTGAGCATGCAGTGCAGCTTTGAGACATACAGGGAATACGACCTGTTTGATTTTTTTTAAATTCTTTTCCATTGCAGCTCTCACTTTTATGTGTGTTTAATTCAAGACAAGAATAAAAATATTTTCTCAAGTGAACCATATTAAATTATTCTGACCTGGAAACAAAAAAATCACTCATTTCAGAGTGAATATTTAAATATCTTTGTAATCATCTTTATGCCCAGAAAATGTTTTCCTTCATAAGGGAAATATTTTTTCTTTTGTTTTTCCTTTTTTCCCCAATGAAAACAAACCAAAACAGTAACTTCTCGATATAACCAGTTTTGATTTAGGAATGAAAGCATCAGAATGTTAACAAAATCAGGAAGAAGATGGAATTTAAGCTTTTCTGATTTTGTATGTGTCTCTGAAAATGAACATCTAGCGAAAAAATAACTTTGGTGAATCACTTAATCCACAAGTAACTAGGCAAAGTGCTTGTAGCCATATGGTACAGCATGTATACTTAAATATGTTACAAAAATCTTAAGGAATTAAATAATTTTCACGAGAAAACCCAACAACTAGTAAATATTTATTCAAAAATGTTTGCCACAAATTTTATTTGAGAAACAATCTAAAATTCATCTATCGTTCTCAATTTTCTGGGACAAGTAACTTGTCAGATGGGATTTTTAAACGTGACATGGATATTACGTGGTATATATTCTATAGTACGAATGAATAGACAGGTATCTGCGTATATCTGAGCCAAATTCTCCACTGCTGTAGTATTTCTTGGCCTTAGGTAATCAGTTGTGTTACTGATACTTGGTTACTGGTGACATACTGAAAGTAAAGCATGCATAAAGCATCACACAAAGCTAAACCGAGGAGTAACAATAAACACATATTTAACATAAGATGGGCAGTATTCGGGCATATTCTCAGCTGTTGGAAATCTGTGGAGCACTATCCAAAGAAAGAGCTGTGACTAAGACATGCAGTGGTCGACCAAGTGATTTACTCACATCTTTATCTCTGAAGATAATCAGTGGGATTTTTGACTCTCTATTTTTCATTGTTGTTGTGGAGGAAATTTGACCTTAATCTCTTGGAGGGTGGTGGCAGTGCACTTGGAGTGAGTGGTGAGGTGCGCTGCCCTCTGACTCCCGAACAGCCTGCTTTATTTTGTTCTTCTGTATCGCCTTCTGGCACATACCCATTCGTACGTTGGTAGGGAACAGCCTGACTGTGAACCGTAATGTTAAGGAAGTCATTCATCTTCCCACATTCCAGCGTGGCTACATTCTCTAAGAGATTCTTGTTTTCTTTTTAATTTCTAGGTATCTCCTGTCCAGTTCTGCAACATATGCAGTGCCAAACACCGAGGGCCAGGAAGCGCAATCCTGGAGATGAAGAAATAGCAGTCCCCTAGTTCTCCATGCCAGTCTGTCACACCAAATCTGTTAGGACCATGCAGAGCCACTGTAGTTTCTGTTAGTCATCATTTCTGTATATAATTCTGACTGTGATTTACACCTGGTTTCTGTAAGTTATCCAGCTTATTGAACATTTTTGGGAAAGAGAAAATGTGAAAATCTTTCCCCAGTAAGTCCTTGTTACGCAATTCATATGTCACTGTTCCTTTGCTCAGCTTGTTACTTAACTCCGGAACAAAAAAGAGAAATAAAATGAGAAGAAAAAAAAAAAAACACCACAGTTTGGACATTTGTGCTTGCTAAGAGTTGATGTGCTTTGCAGTTTGGAGCCGTATCAGGCTCATGGTTAGATATTGTAAAGAAAGATGAAATGCTGTGAATTCAGCTTACCCCAAACTACTTTAGTCCTGGTTTCGTCTATTAGTGAACTGTTTAACTTGAGGCTCGCAGGAGTCTACTTTCAGTGGAACTGCTTCAGGACTTTAAGCTGGCTGTGTGCTGACTCGTACATTAAATTAACAAACCCGTTAACTGTTAATTCCACACACTGGGGATTTACCTTGGCTGTATGGCAACACGTTCATAGTTTGTTACAAACTGGTTATTTTCTCAATTAGGCTTCACAATGCAGTCATTGAAGGTGGGCTTTTCTTACGGTAAACTCATCCAGAAACTTTATTTTTAAATGTTAGCAGTAGAACTTTACACTTATTTTATAAGTGTCGTTGTAGTGTATGCTTTCTTTTAAGTACAGGGCTAAAAAAAACGCATCTGACCTTTCAAAGATAAGATCTCTAGGAGTTTCTTTTGGCCTTAGCAATTTAACAGCTAAGTTAAATAAGTCTATTTGGGTGTTAACAAAAAATGTATTTATTTTTAATTTCAGTGGTGTTCTGTTTTGTTGATCTAAAGGAGATGATCTTTCAGAATGTCTTCACAGTAATGCAATCTCTTTATAATGTTCTCTGATTAAATATAAGCATCTTTTCCCTAAGAAAAGTCATTTTTCAGAACTCCCAAAACTCCTCTTTTCAATAACTGGGGTTTGAAAGTAAAAATACATTGTTTCACCATCAAATTGTGAGATTTAAACAAGTAGTTAACATCGTAAGTTCTGAAACAACAGTATAGTGATACTGCAGTGTATCTGTAAAACTGGAAAATGTAACACCTCTAGGTGGTTCTGTACCTTACGCCCAGGTACCTTCAAATAATTTCTATCGTAGAAACCTGGATTTCTAGTTTATATAAATTCGTTATACACTTTTGATATAGAATCATAGAATCATTATGGTTGGAAGAGACCTCAAAGATCAAGTCCCAGCTTTTTTTTCTTCTACCCGATGCCACCACGCCCACTAAACCATGTCTGGAAGTGCCACATCTAAACATTTTTTGAACACCTCCAGGGATGGTGACTCCACCACCTCCCTGGGGAGCCCGTTCCAATGCCTAACGACTTTTACAGTGAAGAAATTCTTCCTGATATCCAATCTAATATCCTCCGGGCATTTGGCTGAGCTGGTGTAGCGATCTGAAGAGTGATTTTTGTTGTCCACTGTGTAGATCTGTATAAAACTGGAATAAAATTTTAAGTGCATTAGAAATGCTAGGATTTACTCTGCGTGGTTACAGAGACAAAGTTATCATTGAAAGGATATATCTCTCAAAAACATAACAATCATGCTTTACTGTGATAATACAGCTGAGGAAAAAAATGAAAAACGGTGCAGATTATTTATGAACATGCAGTAGATGAAATAACAGAAGGACAGGAGCTTTGTAGAGCAGAGCATAGTCCGCATACGTCAGGCTTCATGGGTAAGAATTACTGCCTGGCTCTGTAGCAGTTCAGTTTCAGCAGCTAGTACACATTCTCAGGTATATTGTTTATTTATCCGTTCTTTACTACACTGATCAGGAAAGCTGCTTTGATTCCTAGTAAATGAAATGCTCTAGTGAGCTCAAGGGCTGTTTCACCACACTTGAGCTATTGCATGCCTGTAGACAAGTTGAGAAACTTTTTTTAAAAAACCTCTTCCTCAGTAGCTCTAAGCAGCTTCTCTGTGTTAGACCCTAAGAACGCGCTGTGCAATGCCGTAAGCTGTCAGCTTGTGGGAAGAAAAAGTCCAGTTACTCCTATACAGTTATGCCATGACGTGTTCTGTAGCTCAGAGTTATATGATAATTTAAAGCAGGTGTATTGTTTACTTCAGCTTGGCCTTAAATTCCCTAAAGCATTTGAGTGTTCAGTGACTCACTTTGCTAGCCTGCCATCGCTGGCAATCATCTTGCATTATACCTTGGCATATTCTTTGCATTATGCAAGTAATTTTAAATCACTGTATGAAAATCTAATCAAAATCTTCTCTAAATCCAAAGCTTCTTTCATTTGGGCTTCAGGGACTACCCTTTTCATGTTCCTGAATTCTAAATTTGCTCATTAAGATTCAGCAAGAAATGTACAGTCCTGACTTTGATTCACTTTTCTGCCTAAGAAACCTTCACATCATAGAAAATGTCTGAGGTTAGTCTAAAATATTCAGGTACCCAAGAGCTTTTCTTCTAGAGAACAGTTCTGCCAAAGAAGTAGCCTTAAAGTTGTATAACCCTTCAAAAAAGTACGGAATAGCACCCAGTTTCACCAGAGCTTATATTAAGATGTCAGTCCGTTTATCAAAGTGCTTGTGCTTCTAACTAAGGTAAACTTAAGGTAGATTTAACAAGGGAAATGCTATTTTTTTTTTTCATTGATCCATCCAGTTCTGTGTGATTTCTTCAATAGTGACCAATAAAGCTAACTGAAAGGATATGCGATGGATGAAGTAAGAATGGATTGGTCTGCCGTATCAGAGCAACAAAAGTATTGTGGTTATAATGAGTCTTTAGATGATTTTTCTCATCTGTCTTTGGGTTTATTATTTTGAGACCCACCATGCTGTGTGATAGACTTGGTGGCAATGTTGGGCTACACTGAAGGTTTCGGTGGGCCCAAAAGAGTGAGGAGCTGGTGGTGCTCGGTGAGCGTGAGGCTATTTAGTCCTGCTGAGAGCTCAGTTAAAAGTGATAGCCATCAGAATAAAGGTTGACTTCTGCAAAAGGAGGAGTTAATCTGTTCCTAGCAGACCTGTGGGGAGTGGGAGGGACCTGCCAGGAGTAAGGCTCTAGCCAGCAATTTGTAGGGAGAGTAAGAGGTGCCTGTTGCTCTTGTAATAAGTTATTTATTGAGTGATCTTTTTATGGCTGATGGACCACGTCTGAAAGGGACTGGGACGTGCTCTGCAGATCTTTTGGGTCTCATTGAAGTTGCGAGGTACACGACTGGCTTTTGCCATCTCCTGCTACAGCTGAATGCCGTGCGTTTACCGGCTAGTAGCTGTGTCTCAGTGGGCTTGAGGCAGCTCCTCGACCAGCTCAGTGATGGATTGAATCAGCTGTGTTTGGTGCTTGGCAAGAGTCTGCAGCACTACCTGAGTCGGGGGGTCAGGTAATACGTGGAGGGGTCATTCTATAGACAAGGTATGTCCTCTGGGTGCAGCTGCATCCGACAGCCGCTCGCCTGTGGGAACCCTTGAACACAGCGGGTGCTGGGTGTTGGGACACACTGATCTTGTGTTACCGAGCCAGAGCAAAGACAGAACGAGTTGTTCTCCCATTTGTAAATCCACATCATATTCCTCTTTGAAAGAAGTATTTTCATGGACAGTTGATGCCAAGGGCTCGACTGCAGATTTGTCAAGGACTACTGTAAAGCCAAGAACAAGAAATATCCCATTGTCTGCTATGTTTCGTAGTGTATTTTCAGTAGGAGACTATGCTGCAACATCTTTTTCTAAATTTTGGCTGATAGCTGGATAGAGGATGTCAATATTCTGTATAGACTGCACGGGTTGGCTTAGCAAGTTTTCATCTTAGGAAATGTAATGCCTTTCTACCTTAGAGTTAATGGTTCTTCAGCTGGAGTCTTTCAAGCAGGCACCATCGTGCTCTTTGCTGTTGTGTACGCTACCACCGTGGTTTTCTGCTTGGCGAGTAGCGTTCCTGTCTGCAGTTCAAGGGAACTGGAATTGCAAATAACCTCTTAAATGAAAACCTCACGCTGGATTTCCCATTTCTGAAATGTTGTGATTTAGCATTCAAATATTGTATATCTTGGTCACCTTGGAAAATAGAGTGTCGTCTCCGCAGGTTGGTTGGACCGGTCCCTGCCTGTGCCACGTTATAGCAGTTTGAAAAAAATACTTGCAGGAAAATTCTTACCTCGTGTTGAACAAGGACTGTTATCTGAATGAGAAAAATCTCTCCGAGCAGCCTGTTTTCCCTCTCTCCTGCTCTGTTGTACACTTCTGACTTCATATCCGTGCAGCATAACTTTTACCCAGTTAGAGACAACATCAGGCTCTCTTGCTCTCTAGGAGAGCTTCCTCCTTGAGCAGATCTTTGCCAAATGCTAGCTCTAAATCAATCGCTGTACTCGCAAAACAATTTAAACAAAACTTGTAAGAAACAAAGTACCACATTTAAAGAATGACTCTTTAATTATATACTGTTGGGGCTGTCTTCTTACTCCACTGTGCCATGAAAGATTAATTTTCTCTTGACACTTGAGAAATCCCTAGGTGATGTTTTTTCTGTTCTTCAAGACAAAGTCTGCTTTCTTTTACTATAATCAAATATTAAATTATGCAGAAAACAGGACATCTGAAGTGTCTGAGACATCAAACACACAAGAGAATAGGATGTGTGAGAAGTTCTAAGAGAAGTCAATGAGTCATAGTGGGAAAGACCTAAATTTCGTTTTAAAAGGCTTCAGTAAATGGTGATCAGAATAAGCTTCTGCAACAGAGCAGGTCTTGGAGGCTCCGATGTGTTTAGGGTGTGACGCTCCGCCAGGAGTCTGCCGTGTGAACGGACGAGGCTGCCGGGGGCTTCTGCTCCTGGGCTGTGCTCGGGACCGGTTGTGCAGCCGCAGCAGGAGTCGGCAACCTGCCGAGTGGCGACCGGTTGCCCTCCAGCCCGGAGGAACTGCCGGAGGTGGAGGTGTAGTGGAGTAATGAAGGGCTAGAAAGTGGCAAGAGCTGCGGAGGGCAGTGGAATTGTTGATGGGAGTTTTTTTTTCCCGTTGCTTTTAATCTGATTGCAGCAAGATTTAAGTCCAATTATGTTGACGAGGTAATGGTATCTTGGTGTCTGATGGCTGTAAAATCGCATTTAGCAAGAGGGCAGCTGGATGGCGTGTTGCGAATCGTGTTCACCTAGCATGCAGATTTGTC